CAGGTGCTAATTAAGCCATCCAGCAGGTGCTAATTAAGCCTTTGTTTGATGAGTTCACCGCGATGTCCAGCCCGGAGCTGGACACGACAACGACATGGGCGGAGCCGAACCCTCCGAGAGCCCCGGGCCAGGCCGGGCTGGTTCGGCAGCTCCTGAGTCACGGCTGAAATCCGGCGGGGCAAAAGTTCCCGAGGATCCTCCCCTCTGTGCACAAAGGTCCTGAATCCTGGGGAGAAAATCAGGGAGAATCCATGAAATCAGGAGAGAAGGATCCTCGCTGCCCAAAAAAAATCTGATCCCTAAACTGAGGTCCCCGAATCCTGCGTGGCAAAAATCAGGGAGGGGAGGTCTGTGGAGTCCTGAGGGAGAGCGCCTCAATTCCCAAAAGAATCTGATCCTTTCCCCAAATCCTGGATGGAAAAAAAGGTCAAGGAGCATCCCCAGAGTCCTGACTGAGGGGTTCTCACTTCCCAAAAAAATCTGGGAATTGCATGAAAATCCCCAAATCTGAGGTGGCCAAAAAGGTCAAAGAGCATCCATGGAGCACTGGGTGAGGTCCTCACTTCCCAAAATTTGGATTCATTTTTTTGGCAGAGTGAAGCAAAGGAGCTCTGGGACCCTTGGAGACACGGAGACACCTCCAGGACATCCCAGGTGGAGCCGCCAGCTCCCGTTTGGATCTCCTGGAATAACTCCTTGGAATTCCCTGCTCGGCACCTGGGAGGTCCCTGATAAATTTGGGATTTGTGGGATCTGGTGCAGCAATTCCCACCTGGGAATGCCAGGCTGGGAATTTCCTTCCCCGCAGTGTCACGATCCCTGGAATTTGTGGCCCCACGTTCCCTCCATTCCCTCACGTTTCTCCCGTCCTTTTCCCAAAGGTTTGGCTAAAAATAGATTTTTGTGCAATTCTCAGGGATGGGAAAAGCAATTCCACCTCTCCTCAGGGAAAAACATTCCCTCCCTTTCCAGGGGCTGACTCCGGAGCCTCTTTGGGCAATATCCATGATTTTTGTGCTGAGGTTGCTGCCCGGTGACCTCCGGAGCATTTCCAGACTGGATCCAAACCAGTTTAAGGTCAGGCCACATCTCCTCATCTCCAGACAGGGTTTAGGATTAGGTTTAGGATTAGGTTTAGGTTTAGGTCTCTCCCTCCCAGCCATGGGAAGTGTTTGACTTTAATCCCTGGGCGTCGCAAGTTCTGGGTTTATATTTGGCACCGAAATATTCCAGAAATTCTTTATTTGTTGCTTAAATAAAAATGTCCCGAGCAGGTGGAGGTGTCCAGGGCTCTGAGGGATGGACAGCACCAAGCTCCGACCTGAGGAGGAGAATTCCCTCGGGAATATTGCACAAAAATTCGGGTGGAAGGTTGGAGGTGGTGAAATTCCCTGTCCGCTCTCAAACTCGTCTGCTCTGGCCTTGGCAGGGCAAAAACCAGGATCAGGGAATGATGAAATTGTGGGATAATAGAATCAGGGAACCATGGAGTATCAGAGGATCATACAATCGTGGAGTTAGAGAATCATGGAATCATGAAATCAGAAAATCATGGAATCAGAGGATAATGGAATCATAAAATCACAAAATTATGGAATTAGAAGATCACACAATCACAAAATCACAGAATAACGGAGTCAGAGAATCAGAAAATCATGGAGTTGCAGAATAACAAGCATAAACTCATGGAATAATAAAATCAGAGAATCCCAGAAAATCAGAGTATCATGGAATGGTTTGGGTTGGAAAGGACCTTCAGGATCATCCCGTTCCAAACCCCTGCCGTGTCCAGGGACAATTCCCACTGTCCCTGGTCTCTCCAAGCCCCATCCAACCTTTCCTCTGACACCTCCAGGAACAGGGCAGTGCCGAGCCCCAAGGTTTTAAGGACTCTGATCTCCTTCCCTGCATCTCCCCGTGGGAAGGGCACAATTCCAGGAGCTTATCTCGGTTCCGAGCCCTGCCAGCCGCCAGCCTGCCTCGAAAGCAGCCAGGCAGGTCTGGGAAGTGCCCTAATTCCAGCCTGGAATCGGCACCAGCGGAGCACCAGCAAGGCCTGAGTCAGGCTTTGGGCTTGGGCTGGAGTATTCCCAAAGCTGGAGACTAAAACTGAGCCTATCCCAGAGGGAACAGCAAGGCAGGACCCAGGGGGAAAACGGGAATTGTACAGATGGGAGAAAATTCCGGAATTTCTCGGCCTTGTGCTGCCGAAGGGTTGTTGAGGGAGGAAGTTGCTCCATGCCGGGAGCAGCCGCTTCCAGGTGCTGCCCAGGAATTCCGGGAGGTGACGTGGGACCAGCTCAGCCTGTTGGAAGTGATCGCAACGGGATCTTGATCCGATAAAAGCTCCGGAAAAGCCGCGGAGATGAGCCCGGGAGAGGCCCGGGATGACCAAAGGTGATGAAATTCCCGTCTGGGTGGGACACGGCGTCTCCAGGAGCCGTGTCCTGATGGATCCCGGAGATTTGGGGGATCGGGATTGGATTTCAGGGGGTTTCTCGACTCCTTAAATGTCTGGGTTTCGTTCCACTTGGACTAATCCTCAGGGAATGCACTGCACACAGAGTTCCCTTTCTTTCACATCTAGGCCTAACCACCTTTTTTAATTCCCTTCTGGAATTCTGTGGGGCCGGTTCCCCAAATTCCATTTGGGTGGGAAAAATCTTGGATATTGTTAAAAATCCCTGGAGATAAATCCCTCAGCTCCCTGCTCCATCGCATTTGGATGGGTGAGAGCTGCAACTCCATGGAAAATGTGATTTATCCAGAAAATTCCAGGATTATTGAGGTTGGAAAAGCCCTCCAAGATCACTGAGTCCATCTTTAGATGGATTAACCCCTTTCCAGGAATTCCTTGGCCACCTCCAGGGGTGGCAACTCCAGATCTCACTGGGCAGCCCCTGACCGCTCTTTCCAGGAGGAAATTCCTGGAATTTCCAGGAAATCCAAATTTCAGTTTGGAATCACCCCCCTCCTGGTGATTCCAAACTGAAATGAAAGTTGAGGGAAGTCCACTAAGTTCTTCCCAAGGAAAACCCAGGGGAGGTTTAGCTGTGCGATGACCCCTGGATGGGTTGAGGTGGAAATTCCCAATAAATCCCAGGAATTTCAGACATCAGAGGGGGTTTTAGCTATGGAATGACCCCTGGATGGGTTGAGGTGGCACCAAACCCCACCAAGCCCCCAAACCTCAACGGGGTCTCCAATAACTCCATGAACCCAAGGCTCTGACCTTTATCCAGGGAGAAATTCCACGGTTCAGCGGGATTAGTCAGGGAAACGAACTCAGAATCCTCTCTGAAAGTGCCTACGTGTAAAACCCGGCCGGGCAAGGTTCTTGTGAAAGAATGAGCTCATCAGCCAGGAGGACTCATTCCCAGAAGGCAGGGCTTCCAAACCCTATAAAAGATCCCAAATCTCCCCACTCCGGCATCCACTCCGCTCCCGCTGCTCCCTCGGCACCGGCTGGGTGAGTCCCGCAATCCTGAGGTTCCTCAGGGAGCTTTGGGATTGGGGATCCCAAGGTTCCTCAGGGAGATTTGGGATTGGGGATCCCGAGGTTCCTCAGGGAGATTTGGGATTGGGGATCCCGAGGTTCCTCAGGGAGGTTTGGGATTCAGAATTCTGAGATTTTGGAGGGCTATTTGGGATTGAGAATCCCTATATTTTGGGGGATGTTTGGGATTGAGAATCCCAATATTTTTGGGGGATGTCTGGGATTGAGAATCCCGATATTTTGGGGGAATATTTGGGATTGATAATCCTGATTTTTTGGGGGGATATTTGGAGTTCAGCCATGCAGGAAAGTTTGGATTTGGTTCCTTGGGATACACGGAGGGTTCCTGGAAAGGAGGGAATTTGTGGGCATTGGGGCAGCCTGGAAATGGCACTGGAAGGCAAATTAAGACCAAGCCTAAATCTGAGGGTAATTAAGCCCTAAATTAGACCCTTCCTGAGGCATGGATCAGATGGAATTCCGTTGGTTCAAGGGCCAATCTCCTCCCTCCAGGGAAGGACACCAAACCCTCTCTTGTCAAATTGATTTTCCTTTGATTTTATAACCAAAAGATTTTTAAAACTTCCATTTCACCCAGGAATTCCTTGGAAAGAGGCAAATTTGGGAGCACGAGGGCGCTGCAGGGAGACAAGAAGTGAAAATATGCCCCATGTGCTGCCTCATCCATGTCAGGAACAAGATCTTAATTAATTAATAAATAAATTAATTAAGGTCTTACCAGATGTAAAAAAAAAAAGAAAGGATAGAGAGGAGGGAATTGGCTGTGAGAGGAGCTGGGAACCCCCCGGGGAAGGGAGGAATTTCCCCTCCCTCTGCCTTGTGGAGTTCAAATCCCTTCCAACCCCGCTTTTGGAATTCTCACCTTTCACTCCTGGCTTTGGATTTTAAAAAGCGGCAGCGCAGGAATTCCCGAGGTCCGAGCGAGCCTTCAGCGGCCACAAAATTGTCCCCAAATTGTCCCCAAATTGTCGGGGAGGAGAAATCCGCGCTGCCCGCTCTGACTCATGCGGGACGGTGGTGACAATCCCGGACCTCGGGGACGCTTTATCCCTGAGAATTCCCTTCCAAGAACCCTTCCAGGGTCACCCAAACCCTCGGCATTGTCACCGGAGCCGGGTGAGACCGGAGCGAGAGGAGGAGCTGCCTCCTGGGAATTTAACCCTCAGCTCGCCGGAGCCTCGAGAAACCTCCCCTGGAGTTCCAAATTCCAAGGAAAAGCTGAAAATCCAGGGGCAAAAAGCAGGAATTGTTTCGAGTTTACCAGACCAAAACACCCCGCTGGCCCCACATTTATATTATTCTTTTATTTCTGACACGACAAACGTCCCGAAATGTTTGGTTTTAGCCTCGGGAAGCCAAGGGCAGAGAAGGAAAACTCGGCTTTTAAAATTTTTAAACATGTTTTTCAGAATTGTGTCACTCTCGTCCCGGTAACAGAAGTCCCCACTTTTTTTTTTCCAGGTGATCCCGTTTTCCCGCAGAGATGTCTCTGAACCAGATGCAGATCAAGCAGGAGCTGCAGCTCCCCCCCGGCTTGGGTAAAACCACCCCAAAACAGAGCCCGGAGCATCCCCAAATCCCAGAACCGGGAAAAGGGGAAGCTGCGGGGACTGCGGTGCCCCAGGGCCCGCCCCAGGAGCACCAAACCCAATTCCCTCCGGCATTCCCGAACCCCGAGCCTGCTCCGCGCCTGGAAGAGAAATCCTGCCCGGAACCGACGCTGGAAAAGCAGGAGGCCAAGGAGATCCCGGTTCCCGTTCCCGTTCCCGTTCCCTGCTCCGAGGCTGCTGCGTGCGCCCAGGAGAAGCAGCAGGTCCAGGAAATCCCAGTGTCCACCCCAGAAAAGCAGGAATGCAAGGAAACCCCGGTGTCCATCCCAGAAAAGCAGGAATGCAAGGAAATCCCGGTGTCCATCCCTGATCCACACCCTGACCCTGTTCCGTGCTCCCAGGAGAAGCAGCAGTGCCAGGAAATCCCAGTTTCCACCCCTGACCCTGTCCCGTGTGCCCAGGAAAAGCAGGAATGCAAGGAAATCCCGGTGTCCATCCCAGAAAAGCAGGAATGCAAGGACGCCCCTGTCCCCATCCCAGTTTCCATCCCTGAGCCCACTCCGTGTGCCCAGGAAAAACAGGAATGCCAGGAAATCCCGGTGTCCATCCCGGAAAAACAGGAACGCAAGGAAATCCCGGTGTCCATCCCGGAAAAACAGGAATGCCAGGAAATCCCGGTGTCCATCCCGGAAAAACAGGAACGCAAGGACACCCCCGTCCCCATCCCAGTCCCAGAGCCCGCCCCGTGTTCCCAGGAAAAGCAGGAATTCCAGGAGACCCCGGTGCCCGCCCCGTGTTCCCAGGAAAAGCAGGAATTCCAGGAGATCCCGGAGCAGCGCTCCCTTCCCGAGAAATTCCCTCCCCTGGAGCAGCAGCTGGAGCAGCCCGGCCCGTGGCAGAAATAGAGGGAAAATCCCGATCCCGGGGATTTTCTACCCGAATCCAGAGGTTTTTCCAAGCCTTTTGTTGTTGTTGGTTTGTTGTGTTTTTTTTTTTAACCCCTGCAGAGCTTTTGTTAGGAATTCCTTCCAGCCGCCCCTCCCGCTAACGCCTTGTCCTTTACTAACAGCAGGGAATTCCCGTCGGGAATGCTTTCCAGCAGGGTTGTAGCTCCCCTTCCCAAATTCCTGCCCTTTTTCCCAATCCCGCGGCTTTGGAATGCCCAAAAAAACCCCCCAAAAAATCATGGAGCAAGGCGGGGGTCGTGAAGTTTAAAGAAAGCTCCAAATCCAGGGAAGAGCTCATCCCCTTTTTCCTGCCTTTTCCCCCTGGATTCCAGCTCCCACCTGGAATTTGGGAAGTTTTTCCCCTATAAATAATCAGATTTTGTGCGGAATCTGCCGCCAAAAACGCTCAAAACTTCCCAAATCGGGAATTAGTGCTGAATTTTTTTGGTGGAATGCAAAAATAATCCTTCGGGACTGAGGGAGAAAAATGAAGATATTTAGGATAGATACGACTTTGGTGGAATTTAAAAGAATCCTTTGGGATTGAGGGGGGGAAAGGAAGAATTTTAGGATGAATCCGAGCTCCCTCTCCCCTTAAATTTCCTCGGAGGTGTCAAAGAGCAGCTCAGGCCGTGAATATTCCATAATTACCCAAATTTATGGATAATTAACTCCACTCCAGACATGTTTGGGAAGAGATTAACCCCGGGCGTGGCGCAGACGGGATAAAGGAGGAATTCCAGCCGGGAATGTTTCGCCACCCGTCGGTGTTTGGGACTTTGTCTCGTGATTGTTTTCGGCTGCTGTTGGATCCAGGATTTATTTCACTGTGAAAATTCCACAATAAAAGCGACTTTGAGTACCGAGTTTTGGGAATTTTTGTTCCTGGTCGCGCGGGGTTTTATACGAGGTTGTGGGGAATTTTGTACCAAATTTTGGGGATTTTTGTACCAAGTTTTGGGGGGTTTGTACCAAGTTTTGGGGATTTTTAAAATCAAGTTTTGGGAAGTTTTATACTGAGTTTTGGGGGGGGTTTCTATAAAGTTTTGGGGATTTTTTAAAATCAAATTGTGGGAATTTTTTTACCAAGTTTTGGGAATTTTTGTACCAACTTGTGGGATTTTTTTAATATCAAGTTTTGGGGATTTTTTAATCAAGTTTTGGGGATTTTCAATGGCTTCTCCTGAAGAAGACGCAGAGGAGGCTCAGCTTGCAAAAGCCAGGGTTTTGGTGTGCTAAAAGTTGATATTTTAAGGGAAAAAAAAAGAGAAAGAGAAGGGAAAACAGGAGAAAAGCACCAACAAAAAAAAAAACAGGGAGCAACCACGAGGTCATTCCATCATTTTATTGCACCACATCCCAAATTAAACTCAGAATTAAAACCAGCCCCGCCGTTCATTTATCATTTTCTAAACCTAATTAAGCGCATCTCGTTATGAGGTAATTCCTGGCAAGCGAAGCAGGTGGCTGCAGGTCTGGAGGCGTTCCCGGGAGCCAGGAGAGGTGGGAAAAGCGGGATTTGGGAATTGGGACGGCTCCTACTTCTGCTTGGAGCATTGCTGCTGCTGCTGCTGCTGGGGCAGGCTCTTCACGGCCGCCTTGGCCTGGCCTTTGGAGGCCTGGCTTTGCTGGACCCCCTTGGGAAGGGCCCCGCACTTCTGCTGGCACTGGGCCGGGATCTGCTGCGGCTGCTTCTGCTGCTGGGACATCCTGGGCGAGCCTGGAATTCAAAATCACGGAGAGAATCGAGCCGTTTTTAAGGATTAAATTCGCCTTTTTGGGGTGTTGAGGTTACGGGCGCTGCCTCAGCTTCGAGATCGACCCCGCTGATTTAAACTTAATTCCAGTCCCAAGCCAGGCAGCTCCTGGGATTAAATCCTGAGGGTGCTGCAGTTCAGCCTGAATTTTGGGGAGTTGTTTCCTGCCCCTTATTGGGGTTTTTTTGGATCCCATCCCGTTCCCTGCGGGATTGGTCGTTCCGCTGAGGGATCAGGGAATAGCTGTGCCTAAAACGAGGATCAGAGGCAAAACCCAGCCTAACAAAGCCAGGGAAAGGCTGCAGAGCTGGAGAGGAGACAACACCAGGGGTTTTCCTTCCTTCCTTCCCTCTGCTCATTTTCCTCCTGGGAATCTTAACTTTAAAAAGCTCGGGGGAAAAATGTGGATTTGGAAAGCTGAACTCAAGGAGAAGCACCAAGGAAAGCAGCCAAAGAGGAGCAGAAAACTGGGAAAATCTCAGGATTTGGAGTTTTGGGAAAAATCCTTTGATAACAAATCCCAGTATTGGATACCAATCCTAATATTTGATAATATTCCCAATATAAGATTCCCAATATTTGATAATATTCCCAAAATTTTATACCACTCCCAATATTTGATACCAATTTTTGGAACCACCACACCTCTGCCTCAGCTCCTTGAGACCCCCAGAGCAGGAGCCACACCCGGGGCCATGAAATTCAGGTGGATTGAGGATTTTATCCAAGGAACCGGAACCGGGATCCCCGGAAATCTGGGAAGCTGTTCCACCATCCGCCCATGGATGCCAACCTTTGGTTATCCACGGGATTCTTATCAATCTGGGCAAAATTTATCACGGACTTCCGACCCAAAGAGTCCCAAACCACTGGTTGGAGCCTCAAAACACCCAAAATTCTACAACACGGTTTTCCACCCATTGCAGGCGGATTTTTTTGGGGGCGACAACCCCAGTTTGGTGAAGAAAACGGCAGAAAATCCCAATCTCACCCACCCCGGGGCACCAAAGCCCTCACCTGGGCAGCGAGAGGGGCAGGGAAGGACTCACCTGGCGCGCCTCAAAACACCCAAAATTCTACAATATGGTTTTCCACCCATTGCAGGCGGAATTTTTTTGGAGGCAACAACCCCAGTTTGGCGAAGAAAACGGCGGAAAATCCCAATCTTTCCCACCCCGGGGCACCAAAGCCCTCACCTGGGCAGCGAGAGGGGCAGGGAAGGACTCACCTGGCGCGTCCTGCTCGAGGAGGGAGCTCAGGAGGAGCCGCTGCGGGTGTGGAGCTTCCCCGAGGAGCGGCTTTTATATCCCTGCGGAAGGGCCGATGACTCCGGATTAAACTCGGTGACCAGAATCTTTCACAACCGGAACCGGCTCCGCTCCCACCTCCTGGACCTCAGTCAAAGTCTGGGAGAGATTCCCTCCTCTCCCGGCTGCGGGGGACTGGGTGTTTTTCACGCAGGGCACACCCAGAGCGGCTCATTGCGGGGTGATTTGTTAATAATTCATTAATAATTTCTTAATAATTCACCCCATCCCTGTCCCAGGCGGAGATCCCGCAAAGAACCAGCAGCTGGGATAACTCACATCCACTCGGGAATGAGTTTTAGGGATCATTTTGGCTGGGAGCACCTGGAGAAATCTGAGCGAGGTTGGGAATCTGTCCCGTCTCCTGGGAAAGGCATCAGATCCCAGTTTGGAACCCCATGGTTCTGGATTTTGCTGTTTCCCTTCTCCAATTCTCATCCCCAAAAAACAGGAATGAAACTTTTTTTATTCTTGCCCCCAGGAAATTAGGAAGATTTTCCAGGCTCCTGCACCTCGAGCCTGATGAAATATCCCTAATTTATTGCAAATATCCCAGGAATTCCAGCAATTCCCTGTGCTGACCACAGCTGGTGCGTCAGGGCTTGGCCACAGGAAATGTTGGGAGCTCAGCAGGTCCCTCCAGGATTTTCCAGGTGCTCCCGTGATCCCTGTTCTCAGGGAAAATGGAAGAATTCCAATGACAGGCACAGGTGATGGATCGGGATGGAGATGCTCCAGAATCAGGTGAATCACAGAGGGGAGGAGCTCCACGTGATTCCTGATTTAAACCTTTTCCATGATTCACGGTTTAAACCTTTTCCAGGCCTCCAAGAGGACGCAAAAGCGACACCTCAGAGCTTGGATCCCCAAAAATCTGGAGGAATTTGAGGCACAAATTCCTCATTTCCCGATCAGTTTTCCTGGGAATATCCAGTCCAGGTGTGTTCAGGTGTAGGGGTTGGGTTTTTTTCCATGATTCCTGACTGAAACCTTTTCCATGCCCCCAAGATGTCACAAAAGTGGCACTTCCAGGGCAGAGCTTGGATCCTCAAAGATTTGGGTTCCTCGGGAGGAATTTGAGGTGCAGATTCCTCATTTCCCCATCAATTTTCCTGGGAATTCCTGGCCCAAGTGTGGGGTTGCTTGCCCTGATTCCTAAAACCTTTTCCATGCCCCCAAGATGCCACAGAAGTGTCACCTCCGAGTCGCTCCTGAGGCAGAGCCTGGATCCTCAAATTCCACGGAGGAATTCGAGGTGCTGATTCCTCCCTTCCCCATCCATTTTTTTGGGGAATTTCTGCTCCTGCTTTGCCTCTCAGGTGTGCTCAGGTGTTTGCCTTCCCCAGCTGTGTTTTTTTTTTTACCTCCCATGATCCCCACCTGAGGGTGTCACCTCCTGGTGTCACCTCCTGGTGTCGACAGCGAGGGACACAAAGAGGAACCTGCTCCTCGCCTCCCCACCTGCACATTAAAAAGGTGATTTGGAAACAGTGTCGGCACACCCCCGAATATAAATATCTCTCTTTTCTTCTCCAGATTAGATATTCCCCACCCTTCCCGTAATGAGGGGGTAGGTGGGGAGCGATTTCAGCATTCCCAGACATGGAAATGGCGTGGCCAGCACGGAACCGGAGGTGAAGAAAGCCACAGGCACAACCTGGGACACAGTGGGAGCTTTATCCCTGAAATTTGGGGGGTTTTATGGGTTTAACTCCCTCCAGACCATGGGGTCACCCTCAGCTGCAAACTTATCCAAAATAAAAATGTATTCATATTTATTTAAAATTGTGCCTTCCAGATGTTCAATTTCGTTATTAATTTAAGGCTTTCTTCCACTTAAATTCGCCTTTTAATGGTTTCTAGGATTTACTTCCCAAATCCCAAGCTGTGAAGT